GGAAACAATGCATATTTTAATAAATATTCACTCAGAATATATCCCAATCAATAAAACCACATTAATTTTAACAACACGTCTACGAAAATAAAATAATAAATTGCAACTTACATTTTTCTTTAAATTTAATAAAAATCAATTTAAAAAAATAAACGCGAACAAAAACCCGTACAAAATAAAACAAACGAATAAAGACCCTTACAGGCACATTACCTGTAAATTCGACAACAGGAGGCAAAGAGGAGAAAGAAATAATTTTGCGGTACCTACGGCGTAATGATGTCCTACATTTACATCGTTTTTAAATCGAGAGAATGTTCGAATAAACGATTGTAAAAGACGTGAGTGGTGACAATAAAACAATAATGCAGAAGTGGTAATTTCTAAACGTTTGTAGTCGTTGCAGTGGCGTTACGACGACAGTCAAAGGGAATGACAACGGCGGCGTTACGTTGGTGACGCCTAGCGTCGCCATTTAATTGTGGCAACTTTGCAGCGTCGCGTCTGCCTTTGTGAGTCAATCTTTGAAGACCTGCTCGAATGGTAATGGTTCGCAATAATGTTGAAATGCACTCGCGATTAATAATTCAAAAGGAGAATCAAGAAAACAGGACCTGAATACCGTATGTTGTTGAATCCATTTGGGTCAAATACTTGCAAACCCTTTAGAATATTTAAATATGCACACACATATAACGTTTCGACACAACCACAAATTTAGGGATACTTTCTATTACGAATCATGAATTCATCATTACAATTAAACGGCTGGTAATTATATGTAACTGAATTGCTTTCTTAATGTAAATTTTCTTTTGGAAACAACTTTAGTATTGAAAATACTATTTGTGTTTTTATATGGAAACTNTTGGAAAGATTAAAAATATGTAAAAACGCAACGAAGTAAAAATGATAGAAAGTGTTAATTAACGAAAAATATCAAACATAATGAATTTGTCTTAAATTTTCTTACTGCATTTAGAGATAAATTGAATGTAAAAATGTGTGTAGAATTTAATGGTGCTAACAGTTTGTGAATGAGGAAGACAGGAAGGAAATCAGTTCTGTATGAAATTTTCCGGAAGACTACGTAAAAAACAAAAGAAAAATTTTTGGAAAATAAAAAAATTATCGATTCGTTTTATTTGGTGTTTTTGCTAAGCAATGGCAAACAAATCAATAGACATTTTATGGAAATTTCATAAGTCATTAAGAGAACAAATTTATCCACTGCAGTTTTAAAGTTTCAATATACAATTTGTAAACTTGTTAAAAATTCTCGCTAAGATTACCCATTTCCCCAAATTTCTCATAACACATGTCACTTAAATAAAGTTAAAAAAACTTAATAAAATACAACTTAAAATTCTTTTAAACCATCAAAAAGCGCATTCTTCAATAGATAAAATACTTCTGCCGGTATCAAGCTCGTTAAGAAAGCCTTCCCTTAACAATAAGTAATCGCAATTCGTGACAAAAATTTTTTAACACTATACGAAGTATTTTACGTACCAATAACTTTAAAATAAATGCTTATATTTTACGAACGAACTCCCTATTTCGAAATCGTCTATGAAGAAAATCATCGCAGTTACGATAAGTAAAAATACACCTTATTAAAGTTAAATACGAATTCCTAATTATATTTTGTATTTACGAATACAATATAAATGAATCAGTATACAACTGTTTCAAATTTTATTTTATTTAAAATTGATGTGGCGACTTTTAATCATCCTTTTTACGGAAATTTACAACCCACAAGTTATATAAAATGTATCTTCAACTGTAAGAAATACACTAATCTAAAGGAACGAAATTAGCAATAGGGAAAAACCAATAAGGAAATAAAAGAAGAAATCCATCAAATGTCGTACAAGCATGTTAACCAAGAAACAAAAGTAAAATTCAAAATTTCTACCTTTTCCCTGACGAGTATCAAATTTTGCAGATGTGGTAAATATCCTTAAATATCCTTTAAAGCAATATAAGGGAAGTCCAAGTAATCCTTAAAGGGTAAAAAAGAGTTTTTGATCTTTCGAAACCACTTTATTATTATTTTATACTATAATTGAACAAAGTTGCAAACGATTGTGTCTTATTACACAAACCAAACGTCGATGGCAACTGAACCCGATTCGGAGATTTTAAACCGAAGACGAAACGATGACAACACATTCATTCACGAAGCTTATTTAAACAATAAGCCGAATAAAACCGAAAGAATAAATATTTTGTAAAATAAATAATATTTGCTTTTTTATTTCTCAATTTTGGTTTTGAGTGGGTACTAGTGTATGTAATCTTGAGTTTAATTGTCACTAATAAAGTCTCTAATTTTCTAGTGTTAAAAACAAAAATAATATGCTGTACCTGCAATTAGTAAAAGCACTAGAGAGAAATTTGCCTGCAGTGTGATATTTCAAACGTAAAATTCAAAACAGTTTTTCCTTTTGATAATTGCATATAATTGAAAAGCTTGTTTAAATTTTTAGTCACTAGTAATAAGCGCTTTCACAACTTCATGTCCAAAATTAATACCTAGGCATCTCAAATGAATGATTCAATTAAACACAAATTCTTTTATACCATTTAATACAAATTTTTATTCAAATAAAATGGTTTTGTTTCAACATAGTTTTACTTCTACATTTTGAGTTCAATTGGGTAATAGGTGAAAATCGAACACAAAATTCGATTGCTATGAGTGAATCGAAATACAATCTTTAGAGAAAATAACTACCCGAAAATTCGTGGAGCAACATTTTAATTAGAACTTATTAATTGTAATAGTTAACGTGCTTTTCACCTACTTAAGACATCATTAATCAAGTTCTTAATGCCCACAAAAAATATACCTACATTCAACGTTATAACAAATACAGATCAGTGAAAAGAGTGTTCAAAAACAGAAAATTTTGGTGGAATATGCAATTTGCAATTAGATGTGTCTAAAATAACCGCGAGAATATGAATTTTTCTCTATTTCTCAAAAATATCCCTGAAATTGCGATCGCTCTAGCACACCATTTAATTCCCTGTCATTCACAAACAAAATTGCGAAAATCTAACAAGTTAAGTTTAAATAATATACAAGTTATAAAACTTATAATTCTTACTATCAGAAATTCCAAAGTTCTAGATTCAAAAGAAAGGGCAAAAGGCACCCCAAAAACAATCTGGCTTTACCCATTTTCTCCTTGTCTCGTATAAACAAAATTATCAAAATCTGACAAATGGATTGTGAATAATAAGTAAGTTATATTACTTGCATTTTTTACTATCAAAATCAAATAAGTAAAACTTCTTCAATTGCGTTTATCTTTATTACATGGGTACCAATGAAAATGTTGCTTCAAGAATTTCCGGATAGTTATTTCCTCTAAAGATTGTATTTAGATTCACTCATAACAATCGAATCTTGTGATGGATTTTAATTGAATCATTCATTTGAGATGCCTAGGTATTAATTTTGGACATAAAGTTGTGAATAGAAGAATTATTAAAAAAAAAAACGTAAGTATCAGATTAAATGAGCAAAATCAAGACCTAANCATAGTAAGGTGATATGACAAATTTGGTTTTATATTTATTAATTTTCCTTTATGAAATAGCATACAAGCAGACTTTTTCTTTTATAATTAAATGCTCATTATACATTTGGTCACTGTTTCATAGAATTTATCATTTACTCCCTTTTAATTACCTTGTATTTACACAAGGCAGTTAACTTTCTCATTTTCATGCCACAATTCTAACTTAATACGTATTTCCGAATGCAAATAAAATATAAATTCCAATGCATATTTATAAACCCATTACTATGTGGCAAAAGTACTAAATTACTTGCTTAACGTTTATAACTATAACATAATGTATATTAAAGATATTGATTCACTCATAACAATCGAATCTTGTGATGGATTTTAATTGAATCATTCATTTGAGATGCCTAGGTATTAATTTTGGACATAAAGTTGTGAATAGAAGAATTATTAAAAAAAAAAACGTAAGTATCAGATTAAATGAGCAAAATCAAGACCTAACACGCGAGACCAAGATCAAGATCAAATAAAACTAATACCAAGACTAAGACAGTCTTGTTCTTGGTCATTACTAAGACCATTGTGCATTATTTTATGCAAAAAATACGGCTTTCATTTCAAAATTTCAAAATGTATACAAACTTTAGTTTCGCTTAAGTTTTAAAAGCAATTCTATAGACACATATTTTACATACATTTTCAGTAATGAATCTTTTGGATCTTTTTGAGAACTGTTTTAAGAAATACCTGGAATATGAATTTCAGAGGCTATAACTTAAAAATGTTTTTATATGATCCGTAAGTCTGTACAACTAAATATGCGAATTTTTGATTCTAAGAAGATCGACTGTTACAGTCCGACAGACGCACGCGTAATCTTATAAAAATTCCACATTTCAAAAAGAAAAACGCAATCTTTATAAAAAATAACTTCATAATAATTACCCATTTGTGTAATAAATTACTTAATGACAGTAAAATTAATTAATCACTAATTCTAAACTCAATTTATTAATTGCGCTGATCATTCATTTGTTAAAGTACAACCCATTCCTATATTTTATTTTATTTTTCTTTGTCCTAATATCTATATTAGCATTTATGTGTATCATTTTCGTAGAACATCCTTCAAACATTGTGAGTCAACACGCCAAGCAAAAAAACCCAAGAGATAATAACATGAAGACAACACTTTCACATTCCATAAACGACAAACAATCGTCACAACAGACATGGATTTAGAATAATATTTCGACTATTATATCCAAACGGAGTCATCACTATTTTATATTAATTTTAACTGGGTTAGTTTTACTTTCCCGAAAGTCTTTAAAAATATTACGTAAACAGTTAAAAATTGTACATTGATTTATTACACATTTGACTGAAAATAAATGAAGATTAATCAACGTAAACTCAAAAAAATATATTTTACATATTGCGCACTTTTCAAATCATCATATCCCGCCTACAGATCGTATTTTAAAATAAACATATTAATTAATCACTTGTTAAAATTTCTGCATTTTTTACAACTAGAAATTGCAACGTATTAGCTTCAAAAAATTTGACTTGTGTATAAACAAAACTATTACAATAAAAAAATTGCATTTTGTAAAATATGCAAGTTATAACACCTGTAACTTTTACTATTAGAAATTACAAAACTCTCATTGCACATTTTGTCTGCGTTTCTACAAAAAATATCTCACAAATGCGTTTTTAAAGCTACCCAATTTATAACACCTGAAATTAAAAAGTTTTAGATTCAAAAGGGAGTTGAGAGTCCCTGTCCTCTTCTACCAAAATTTGATAACGAAATTTGAAAAGTATAATACTTGCATTTTTACTATCAAATGTTATAAAGTTTTAAATCCAAAAGGAAGGGTGCAAGGCACCCTTAAATAGATTTGACAATATACATTTTGTCTAAGTACGTCTTCTACAAACAAATTTTACAAAATCTGACAAGTGAATGTTAAATAACATACAAGTTAAAACACCTGTAATTCTTACTATAAGAAAAAAGTTACAGATTTAACAGGGAGGGTAAAGGACACACGAATTTTGAAAAGCGTGCAAGTTAAAACACCCGTATTATGAAAATATGGACACTGCACCGCCATCTGGTGACCATTTCCTGCCACTAAAGAATTCAATTTTCACAATCTAAATGTAATGTTTTAAATTCAAAAGGGTGGAAAAAACTTCACAAAAACACTGAGTTAGACATTTTGTCCCTGATATTTGCAACAAAATTGTAAAAATCTAACACATAAAGTTTGGATGAATGCAAGTTATAACACCTCTAATTCTTACTATCAGAAATTCCAAATTTTTCTTTCAAAAGGAGGGTAAAGGACACCCTAAAAAAAGTTTGACTTTACACACTTTGTCCCCGACTTGTTTAAACAAAATTATCAAAAAGTCATAAATTAATTGTGAATTATGAATAAGTAATAATACTTGCATTTTTACTATCAGAAATTGCAAGGTTTTAGGTCCAAAAGAAAGGGTAAAAGGCACCCTAAGGAAGAAGTGACTTTATACATTCTTTCCACGTCTTCCACAAACAAAATTTACAAAATCTGACAAATAAATTTTGAGTAATATACAAGTTACAACACCTGTAAATCTTACTTTCAGAAAAAAGCAAAGTTTTAGATTCAACAGGAAGGGTAAAGGACACCCTAAAAAAACTGACTTAATACATTTTGTTCTCGTCTTATATAAACAAAATTATTAAAATCTGAAAAATGATGTGTGAATTATAAGCAAGAAATAATACTTGCATTTTTACTATCACAAATTGCAATGTTTTAGGTCCAAAAGGAAGGGTAAAAGGCAGTCTAAAAAAGATCTGACTTTTTACGGTTTGTCCCCGACTTCCACAAACAAAATTATTAAAATCTGACGAAGGAATTTTTAAAAGCGTGCAAGTTAAAACACTCGTAATGTGAAAGTTTAGACACTGTATCGCCATCTGGTGACCATTTTCTGCCACTAAAGCTCTTAATTTTCACCATCTAACTGTAATGTTTTAAATTCAATAAAAGGGTAGAAAACAACTAAAAAATCTGTGTTACACATTTTGTCCCTGTCATTCTCAAACAAAATTTGGAAAATCTAAGGAACAAAATTTGAATATTATGCAAGTTATAACACTGTAATACTTACTATCAGAAAAATCCAAAGTTTTCGATTGAACAGGAATGGTTAAGGATATCCTAATATAAATCTGACTTTACACATTTTGTCCCCGTCTAGTATAAACGAAATTATCCAAATCTAACAAATGAATTTTGAATTTTAAGGAAGTTATGATACTTTCATTTTTACTATCGGAAATTGCAAAGTTTTAGGTCCAAAATAAAAGGCACCCTAAAAAAGATCTAGCTTGATACATTTTGTCCCCGTATTCTACAAACAAAATTTAGAAAATTTGACCAGTTAATTTTGAATAGTATACAAACTACAACACCTGTAATTCTTACTATCAGAAAAAACCTAAGTTTTAGATTGAAAAGGAACACTCTAAAAAAAATCTGACTACACATTTTGTGCCCATCTTCCACGAACAAAAGTATGCAAATCTGACAAGTGTTTCTCTTTAATTGTTACTACAAGCTCTGCAAGGGGGGAAGGCACTGATAAAGAGCTATTGTGAACAATATGCAGTAGGGGGTTGATACTTGAGTAACGTAGCTTTCTACTGATAAATAACTGCAGAATTGTGTTTTTTTTGAGACAGTCATCGAGTGGATCGAGGAAGAGGATGAACAAATGCTTTCAGATAATTGAGAATCCAAAACCAAACCTAAAAAAATTCTATGAAAAATGATGTTTCTGAATTTAGAAACGACAGAAGAAGAAAGCATTTAAAAATGAATTTAGTAATTTATACAAAACAGTTGGAATTTAATAATTAATGAATCAAAATAAACACATTAAAATGATAACAACTTATTTGAACCTTTTATTCCTACTACAAAAATTAAATATTTGTCACTTACCCTTTTTGTACCAATAGATAAAATATCACTGATTGCAATCAAAGTCCCCCACAAATGATGGTGTCCAGAGTTGTTCCTGTGGAATAATTTCCTATATTAAACAGTTATCAAAAAATGTTGAACTTCACAGTAACATAAACTAGTAATTTAAATAATTTATAACTATTTCTGAAACTGACTTCTAATTATATTATTAATCTATTCTCATTTATTATATTTACAACATACACATAAAATTTGGGAACGAATATACGAAGACCATGCTAGATTTCCATATCATGGAACCTTTGGTTTAATAATTGAACACAATTTACCATTACGTATATGATGTTGGTGATAATTTTGATATTAAAAGTGTTGAGGCTAAGTCTGTCCTATCCACTTGTACATTAAATTCGCTTATGCTAATAAATAAATAAAATAAGTTAGTATAAGTTAAGATCCATTTTAAATTATCTTAATTTTGAGCAGCTATAGTGTTTATATTATCATCAGTTTCTTATTTTTTAAAATAAATTTTAGAGTGTAGGGTTATCGAATGATTGAGAGCTTGATTTGGTGAGATTTTATCTGGACACACGTGAAAAAATGATTATGTTTTGAGGAAGTATAAAAATTACATATTTGCGTAGACTCCCACTACAAAGACTTCTTTATAAAAAATAAAATGAACCAAATGTGAACTCACGATATATGTATTATATACAATAACATCAATAATTGTGTTTTACACATTGTCAAGCGTGATAAGGAGTTTAAATGGAATGTATGTAATACTCATTGCAAATTATACTTAAGCTCTTATCTTCCATATAAAAAATTGTTGCTTCTTTATTTCAGAAATTTAATTTACATAGTATTTCTCTGTGGTAACTGAGTTAGTAACAGTATATCAAATACATCAATACGTATATAAGTATTATCACTTAATTGTATTTAAAATAATTTCGGGTAGGTAGGTAGGTGTAGTTATCGGTATCACTCCAGACCGCAGATAAAATGTTAGTCTGTAAAACTATTTAGTACCCTCGTCAAATTAAATAAATAATGTTAAACGTGTTTGATAAAACATTTAATTACACTGCTCGTTTCACAGAAGGCATGAGATCATAATTAAGAAAAATTTCAGAATATCCCTATTTTATATTAAATTTCAGGAGAAAATTGCTGACGGTTTCGAAGAAGTATTGCAATCGTAAAATTTCTAAAATAATGTCATAGATTTTTGTCAATATTCAATTATCTGATAAGGGGTGTGGCGAATGCTCTGCACCAGGACCCCCGATTGAGGGGACCTCGACATGATCAACAACTAAATTAACGTACTCTTGCACATGACAACTAAAGTATCTACATTTTATCATAAGCATACATAATTATTGTAGATCTGTGAATTTCGACAATTTTCAAACTAATTGTTGATTATGCGAGTATTTAGTTTTTGTTATTTGATTCGGGGAACTCCCAAGGATACCCATCTAAACTTTTTCGCCAATGGCTTTGAAAAGATGTAAAATACGAATTGTATTTACATGTTTGAAAACCAAAATGGCACTTTTTCTTAATTAGATAATTTTTACATTAGTAAATATTCCACAAAGTTTGTCTATCAAATTCATAATTCGTAGGTGATTATTAATCTAAATTAATGATACAATAAAGTACTCACAACAAGAATGCCGAATTCTTCCCCGTCATGAAAACCATGATTTTCACCGAACAAGGGCTCCTGCAATTAATATATCACATTTATATTTGCATGTATTAGCAAATTAAGAAAATAGTTATTGTCGAAACCCCTAATTGTGAAATAATCATCTGTAATGATGATATGTATTTAAATTGATTATTGTTAGTCGATCACTTCGGTCTATTTCTACACGAACAGGGAAGGCACAAATAGACAAATGCATTGATAAATTGATAGTAAAATGCTAAATTATCTTTTTTTGACCTTCATAATTAGTTCCAACTAATGCTGATAAAATACTTCTAACGTCTGTGTTTGTTACCTACACCATAGTAGGTATTAATGAATTGTAGTGTGTAAATGTCTAATACGTCTAGGCAACTAAGAAATAAGAAATAATATCAAATATTTATGTGTGTTATGATAACACACGATCATGTTATGGGCTATTTATTGATATCCGTTACTTACGAAGCAATCGAATTTTCAATTGACTTTGAAACACGTTTTTTTTTCTTAGCCGGTTTTGAATTGTTTTCACTTTACATTCATTTTTATATCTACATACATACAAACGGCATAAGTAAAAAAATCAGATAGATTACAAGACAGACAAAATTATTATCTATAAAGTTGATTGGATGTATCTACTGAAATGTAATTCATTTTTTGCTACTGTGCGTGTGCACATATAAATATCTTCATTAAACCACATATTAAGTTCGAGTATATTAAATATACACAAAGATAACCTTTTCTAATTTTACTTGTTTTTGTTAGATACAATCAGTTACATTATCTGTAACAACATGCCTCTATAAACAAATTGTTATTGTTCACTTTAGTTAAGTCTTTTTCTACTCGTTATAAAAAAATGTTCAGAAGCATCAAGAAACTGATTTATTTGGATCATTTAAATTAAACATTTTTACTTTAAATGGCGTAAAGGTAATTGTAACAATACATTTCTAATTAGGGCAACGATAAAAACTGAACTTGTAGGTATATACATATATGTAATAGTATTTTTAACGCATAACTGTAAAACGTAATATCAACATGCAAAATATAAAACTTTTATAGTAAAACATTTTATTGAACAGTATTGTACCTAATTGTTGGTTATTTCTGAAATAAATAAACAATATATAGAATTTTGTATGTATAATTTAGGAAAATTTAATTCTGTGTTAATTTATATCTGTTATTTAAAGAAATATCATAAAACAAACTGGGCTAATGATCTCACCATCAATAGGTCAGCATTTTTTCTTTTACTGAAAAAGATGCCAGACTAATAAACCGCCTCGTTTTTTCATTAAATTAGATCAACGCGTAAAGCATACTTAAAATAAAGGAAACTAAAAAAATACTTTTGGAAGTTAAAGACACTTCGCACTTAGCTTCTGTTGATTTATGAAGACTTTTTTATTTATATT